ACCATTAGATAAATTGGAGCTAATCTGAGGCTCATTAAGGAGCGAGAATTTATGCTTAACTATTTAAATAAATTCTTGTTGATCTGGTTTCTGGAGATTAAACTCTGTAATTTTATCTGTCATAGATGGGAGGAACTTGCTAGTACAATAGTGCAGTATCTTAGAGTAAAAAAACTCAACACGCATACATAAGTAGAGAGAGAGTAGGTGTTTGCAAATTCTATTCAGGCAGTATGAATTTCCATGATTCCCCATTAAATCCCATTCAGTCAAACACGCTCAGTCCATTTTTGGTATTGAGCACTAGCCAATCACTAGTGTTTTCTGACTGATCTAGCAAAATCTAGCAGATGCTAGATTAAGTCTGAAGACATATAAAAAAACTAAAGAATTTACCACCTGGAATTGATTTTGGTTTTAATAATTAAAACCCTAGGAAATGGCCAACTGTTGTAGTTCCACTAGAGGTGGAAATCTCCAAAACAATTTTGCAAGGGTGCACTCAGTATGCTGAACCACTAGCACTCAAATGTAGAACCAGGTCCCTGTGCTAATGATGTCAACCAAAAAATCATGAGATTTTATTTACCATCTGATTTATGTAGTGAACCCTTGGGTAGCACCAGGATAAATGCCTGAGAGCTCTTTTTCAGACTCAGGGACTTATAAATTTGCTCTTTTTAAAAATCGTATCAGGTGGTATTCTTCTGGAGTACCATTAAGCTTTTAAATTAAGCTGACTTAAAATTAATCCAAGCATACAGAGTCACTGACTTCTATGAAAGCTTTGATTAGCTGGCAGCAAAGGGCAGTCACGGGCACCTCTATATTTTGTGTTACAGAAGTCTACCTCAGCTCAGAAGGCTGTCCTTGGACACAACCTGGTACAACTGTAAGGCACAACTTTTATTTCACCTTACACCAAGGGAAAGAAAACAAAAAACAAAGGCTGTGAGGGTTCACTTGCCCTTACAACAAACAGGAACTACAAATCCAAAGTGACTTCAAAACCAAAGCATTCTCCTAATTTCTTCGGTGCTTACGAATCTGTAGAGTACATGACCAACAACTCCCTTCAGTAGGGATACCTTAACTTACATCACCTCAGAGATCTTTTCACAATTTTGAAATTAAGAAGCATTAATATCAAACTACGTATTTTCTTCTGTTCCTTGACGCAGACGTAAGCCATCTAAAGTGCTCCAGGCTTTTTTTGCCAGTTCACCATCTTCTGTAAAACGGCCAAAAACTGTTACAGATGTATTTGCCAAAAAGTGTGGCAAAAAAGAATTTAGAAGCCTTCTGTTTTCTCTGTAGTGTTACACTAGTCAGTGGGCTTTTTTAGATGTTAATTTTTAAATAGCAACTTCTGAGTTAAAGGAAACAGGATGCCAGTTGCTCAGGCTTTACAGCATTCACTAGAGGACCTACATTGGCATCATAACTGCTTACTGTAAGTTAGCGCTCTCTCTCTTCAAGTTTCAAAGTGCTGTATTCTGCAGTTTTATTTCCTTCTTGGAAAGCAAGCAGGATGTTTGCTAGGAAATTACTTTTATTGGGAAATACTGGAACTTAATGAGTTTTTTGGATGACCCACTTGAAATGGGAATTATGTCATTTTTACATAAACCTATCTGGTGATACTAAACCTAGATAATCAGCTTTGATGGAGATCAAGTCTTTGCTGCAAACACAAAAAAAATACCTAGCTGGCTTATTAGCCTACAATTCACATCAGAAAATGATCTAGACTTAAAAATTAGGGGAGTTTAGAAGCTTTAAACCAGATAGGAAATTTTCCTATTTTTGTTCTACATAATTGGAGCTGAACTGTAAGAACTTTCCAAACACTTTGGGAAACAGTAATCATTTCACAAGTTTATGAAGCCACCAAAGCTGTGAAGTCATTGATTTCTTTGTTGAGAGTTCACACACAAACACACACAAGAAGAGCGTATTTAGCTCATTTCCATACCACTGAATGGGACTCTGAGCATCTCGGAATCCTATACAAAAGAACTTTACTACTACTATAGAAATGTGGTATTTCACTCAGATTTTAGAAAGGCTGCAGATTGGCAAATTGTAGCTGGATGAGGAAGTGAATATTTGTAATTAACAGGACCCGAGAGGAATATATTTGGCAAAAAATACCTTTCCTTGCAAGTGTTCTTTTGTAGCTTGTCATCATACATACAGAACAAAACAACATCAAGTGTAAAAATCATCTTTATCCTTACAAAGCATCAGTATTATGGAATGATACAATTATGTCCTATTCTGACAGCATCATCAGAATACCATGGGAATTTACTTTTCACAGAAATCTAGCAGTTTAAATAAAGAATTAAAGGTCTCAATCAATAGATGGCAACTAGATTTCAAGACTAAGTGGACTGTCACATCAAGAAGTACTTTCATTAGCACGGTCATCGGGAAGAAAAGCTAAGGGAAATGCAATCTGCTTTCCCTCCATGTCAGTTGCACCTCGGAAGTCTTGAAAATACTTAAGAGATGTGCTTTGTCCTTAAGTGCAGCAGAGGAGTATGCGGCCTGTCCAAAGTCACTCTCTGATCCGAAAAATTACATTTTTCATCCAAGTTCTTTCTGCAATCCACATACACTCACAAAACGTGGAGTCACTGCAAAATATTTGCCACTGACAAACAAGTGTCCAACAATGAAAAAATGTATGAATAAACATACAGTCAACAACCTGCAGTAACTTAGCCATAACCGCTATTTCACAATAATTAAGGCCACCTTACCCTTAAGTTTTAAAGGTTGCACACTGCAGGTACAGCACTACGTACAGCAGGGAAGGACAAACATGCCTAACGGTCACGAGACACCGATCTTAATGAAACCTGCCAGTCTGGCTGCACAGCACCACTACTCTTTATGAATTTTAAGGATGAGGTAGCACAAGCATTTGGGGAGCTCAGAAATAGTCAATGGCATAAACCACAAAACAGTCAATGCTATTCTTGTGTTCCTAAAATGTATAAGGAAATCCAGAAAAGAACTAAATATAGTTATTCCTTTAATGTAAGAATAGAATGGCAAGGATTTTGTTCAACTAAATTCACTGTAATTGATGCTGGTGAGTCTTACAGTTCAGTCATCGGGGGGAAAAAAGAGGCCTATCTGAACTATACGGCAATTCCTTTAACAGCTCACTAGTCGATATCTGACTGACAGGGACAGGAAAATTTGAGAGCAAAGCATAGGTATTTCCTGTTGAGAAAATGTGAAGCACCCCAGAGGGGTGAGAGTATGTTATCTTGGCAGATGAGTAGTCAGCAAGTTTCTGACAGCAAGTCGTTCTATAATGAATCATTCCTGTGGAGTGGTCACTTCATCAGTTGAGGTCTTGATGTCATCTTTGACAGCTGCTGTTGGTCTGGTAGCAGCAGATGCGGAACATGCTCTCTTCTGCAGCACAGGCAGACACGCTGTGGCTGCTGTGAGGATGTGGAGCTAAGTGGGATCTGGTTGCTGACAAGCTGGCAGCACAGCAGCAACAACTCAGGTGCCTACATCAGGCTGTCGTGGCACAGGTGACAACATCTTACAGCTTAGAAACAGCTGGTACCCAGCAGGTTGGATCAGGTCAGCAGGCACTTGGCTTATACCATGATGTCTTATTGCAACTGAGTTTTGTTGGAGCCCAATGACAGCCTGTTACATGGGGACATGACACGGACACCCACCAAGCCAAAGCAGAATGTTTTTTCTGCTTCAGCACAATGCAATTACCAGTACCTGGAGACTAACAGCATATGTTATGCTATAATCACTAGTCTGACATACATAACCAAAGAAAAGTCAATGCTCATTAATGCATGAAAAACATAAGAAATTTCTTCCTGACTTCTTAGTTTAGCAGAATACTTTCCACAGATTTCACTTCTGAACTCTTCAGAACATCCACAGCAAATGCCTGCCCACAAGTAGCAAGTCTGAATAGTCATCCCCGTGAAACTGGGGAAGTGTTGTCTGCCATCCCTGGCTCTAGCCATCTCCTCTTTTGCTGCAGCTCTGGCTCTCTTTGGACCCACCTCTGAGTTGATTCCAGGGGCGTATTAGGAAACAATACAATAATTTTCTTCTCCCCACTCTCCCAGCAGTTTACTCTGAGGTTGAAGAGTTAACTGTTAACTCCCCTCACGGAAGCTCAAAAAAGTGCCAGAGATGATGCAAGCGGAAGTGGTGGGAATGCATGGGCCCTAGCAGAAAACGAGATCAGTCAGTGCTTACCCTCTCTATTCACCCTTGGGACTAGAGTCTCAATACTCAATCAGAAAGCTGGTCAACCAAGGCTGAGACTGGTGCCACTGGGGGACCATTCCAGGAGATTTTGAAGGAAGACACTAACATACACAAATATGTACCATCATATTTTAATGAGCAGCTTGATTAAATTTACGTTAGGCTGGCCAATCATAGGTCATAACAAGCTGTTTTAAAGTTGAAATAAAGAAAATCTTATTGAAAGTGAATGAATTTAAAGAGGTAAAAAACAGACAAGGCCCAGAACAGTCTCTCAGTGACAACTTCCAAATGCACACTACAAAATTATTTGTTTCCTACTCATTATAATGACAAGTATGAGAATTTAAAAATACATATACTACAGACTTAATTAAAAAAAACCTCACCTATTAACATGGCATGAATGAAGCAACAGTTCAAACAATGCTCTAAACTTTATACCTAACTTCTGATTAAGGGCTTATCCTTTTTTTCCCAAGAATAAAGGCAACTATACCTTCCAGAACTGCAGACTTAGAACAATTTCAATAATGTAGCAGTAGAGCAGGATCAACAAATGCAAGTTGTTGAAATATGAATTTTTAAAGCACGCAAACAAAATGTCACATTAGCTCTCCATAGCTTTTTTCAAAGTCTTTTTTTTGCATCTGAATTTTCATTCCTCCTATAGTAGCATTTGACAGGATTCAAAAACAGCAATGATGGTTCAGCATTTTTTTTTTCCTTTTTAACTGTCCTTTTCTCTTGGATGTGTTTAACAGTCAAAGCTGACTGTTAACATCCGTCAATCAGCCGAGTATAACAGCACCCTCTTCTGGTTTTAACAGTATGAGGTGGAATCTTGAACTCCCATCATCATGTAAGAAACCTGTATAGGAGAAACAAGATAAAAGTGACAATATTCTAAAACTAGGCATTCAGTCATAATAAATAGGCAAAGCAATATTAATGCCACTACATTAGCCCAACCTATTCAATTGCAGGGACTGAGGAGCAATTTTAGAATGGTTCTCCTGTGCCATGATGTAGCTCTGTGCAGGGGTGGTAGCCAGCCTGTCTCCATCGCTGTATGCGGCAGCAGCACTCCAAATCCCTGTTCATGCAGACTCACTTGACAGCAAGCCTTCTGTCCCACTGCTTCCTCCTCTAGTTTGGGCATAAAGGCTGATGATCCAAGTACCTGTCTGTTCTGGGCTCATGGGCTCGTGCTGTCAGAGCAGCCATTTGTCATCTCTTCTGATGCAAACACGGCAGGTGGAGAGGATTATCTGTAACAAGTTAGCCTATCCCGCTTAATTAGACCACCACTTTGGCCTAGCAACTCCTTTATAATCTCAGTACTAGTGTCTTTAAACTTGTTTAGATTTTCAGGAAGAAGTGTCCCAGACTCCGAAATGTTACGCTACCACTGTGTTTTGCCATACCGAGCTGTATATTGCTTATGTGAGAATTGTTTCAGGGATCCTTCATGTGAAGTGCTGCCTGATCATATCATATATGTGCTTTTACTTTAAAATATTTGTTATGAAAACTTTCAAAACATTGATCATTGCTACATTAGAAAACAGAAAGTCATGGTAATTTGCTGTATGAGGTAAACGGGTGACACTACTCAATAAAACTTAATCAAATTGCAACCAGCCATTTCTGCTGAAGTAAAAAAAAAAAACAACCCACCATATAAGTAATACCACTAAGACAGATTGAAATCAAACCTGCAAACTGAAGAATGCAAGCGGGTGTTCAAGCATCTCTGTAATAGATTAGCTTACTAGGCTGGGGTCTTTTTTCTCCATTGGCTTTTTCTGGTAATGCTTGATACAATTTACTTTTAAAACACAATTGCACTCCATGCTGTACATAGGTGCTAAAATACACATAGGACATACTTAACTATTAATACATATCTTTTTGCTGCACTGTGTGGTAAAGGAGCATTATTTCAGGCATAGTTACAATTGCAGTGGTAACGGAGTGGAGTGGGGGAGATGTGCAATACTGAAGTTTCCTGAGTGGGAAAGCAGACAAGTGCTGGTGTCGTCTATAGTCTCTCCCTCCAAACAGATCACCTCTACAGATAAATTCACACCTGAATATAAAAGTTGTTGTCATTTACAAGATCCCGTTTTCTCCTGCTGGATGTTTTGAAGGATCTAGCCCATGCTGCTTCATCTGCACTGCGATATCAAACAAGTAATCGTAACACTCACACCTAAAATAAAAAGGAAAAAAAAGCGAAAATGTAAAGCAAGGCTCAAGTCTTACCATGTTTTATGAAAATTTACTAGTTTTCTTCCTTGAGCTTTGTATCACCAACACAACGATCTGACTGGACAGCTCTATTATCATTTATTTCCATTACTATGGAAAGCGCCCAGCATTTTTGCTACACGATCCTGATTTTCTGCATTTCATCAGCAAATGAAGAAGTAAATTCCAAAAGTGGGACTAGGGAAGACTACACAAACAGTATTGGCAGGTGTCATATAAAAGCAGAGATTGCCTGCAGGTTTCTTATGAGGAGGGACTTTCCTCTTCTTGAAAGGAAAATGTTGGCAACCCTATCAGCCATCATTGATACGAAAGGAAAACCAAGTGGTGGAATCATGAATGCACCCATTTCTGAAAGCTCCCTATACATTCAGTGAGGCCAGCACTTAATGTTCTGAACCACTGTCCATGAGTTTGAAATACACATGACATTAAAGTCATTAAGATTTTGAGGTGTAATGGCAAAAGACACAATATTCCCAAATTGTACTCACATAGTTTTGGCTTTTTCCCATGTTTCTCCCCATACGTAAACTCCATGACGTCTGACCAATACAGCACAAGAGTCTGGGTATTTTTCCAATGCACGTGCCATTCTTTCCTTGAGATCCTTCTCTTCTGGTGTATTCTCAATAATGGGAACCACTAGTGTATCATCATATCTAAAAGAAAAATGAATGCTCATGTATTTAAAAACGTGCTGTCTGGATGTACAAAGCTTTTCCCTAAGAAAGAGATTCTCCTTTGACCGTGTAAAGATGTTAACAAATTCTCAGCACTAGTGATTTTACGTTCTTCTCTTGTGAGTCACGCTGTAACATAAGAACTCTCAGGAACATCTCTCACTCCCAAATGTATGCTATGCTGGCAATATCTGAGCTACACTTGAGGCACAAAAAGAAAATAACACTTTAATGTATTAGGTGTAGCTGTTTGTTCACATATCACTTTGTAGCTGGGTCCCTTTACAACTTTTTCAGACTCTCTTCATCCTGTATTGGCATCACCTACAAGCTTTATCTCAGATTCAATTATTTAAAAGAATCACATTATGAAGAAGGAAATGAAGCTGTTTGCTGGAGTGCAGAAAAAAAAATAATTTAGATAGTCCAAAAAGCCCCTGGAAATAAGATTGTCCTGCTAAGGCATATAAATAGAGAGTAGAGTCAACACATGAAAAACAAATCTCTGTGATGGAGTCATTGGTGGGCTATATGTAATCTTAAGAGAGCCTGAGAACCCCAGTTCCAAAGACAAGATGATGCATGTTACTCAGCAGAACTTGCCTAAGAGTTTCTTCTGAAGGAGGACTGGGATATTTGGCATTGTTTGAACCTTAATTAACACTGGCAGAAACTTGTTTAAATAGTTTTAATAAGTCCCCGTTCAGGTTCAGATTTATCATTGAGATCACATAGATATTTCATGAGTGGATGCTAGTAGTACTTACTTTTACAAAACACAGAGAGAAAGCAATGGTAAAAACAATACAGCTTGTACTTCAAATCAGATATTTAGAAAATGAAAAAGTCTTATCCCTTACAGTTTTCAGTACTGATGCTTTCTCAAGGAAGTCTATAAAAAATACTGAATGAAGAAAATTAAGTGGGTTTTGTAGGTTTACTTTGACTCTTACATACTCTGATCATTAAAATTAGATTTGGACTGCTTGCTACTAGTAAGACCAAATGAGCTAAGGGATTGGTTTCCTAGGTTCTGCTTTCTACTTGGACCTGAGTTTGGTATAAATACCATCACTGATTCCTAATCACAATCATAAGCTTTTTATCAAGAACTAATATCTATAAAACCCCAAGAAGACTCTGAATGAATTAAATACTTTGTATCTCTTTAGTTTTATTGAAATATAAGGAGCCTACATTTAGCCATACCTTCATATAAAATATCTTAGGACAGCCTGAGACTTTCAAGGTTATTTACTACAGATCTAGTTCTCCTTCTACTTAAGTCAAAGGTAAAACTATTCTGGCATCACTGGGATCACATTTAGGCCAACAAAGACTTCTCATTATCCTATCTGTAGCATTTTCCTGGATAGCTTCCAGAAAAGGTTTATGTAATTAGAAACAGTATATTGTCAATCCCTTTTTTGAAAGATCCCATTCTGTACTATCTAATTTCCTTTGAATTCAATGGGGACCCTTGTGTGAGACAAGACAGTGAGATCAGTCTATTACGGATGGATATGTACTTAGGAATCATGTAATCTGGAGCTTTGATTTCTTTAGTTTTTCAGAAATATTAACAGGATAACACAGGACAACTCGGAGATATGGAACCCAATAAATACAATGTCTCCTGACCAACATTTAGGAATGTTTAAGAATTCAAAATGCAAATCCAAAAAAGAAAACTGTTACGGATTTTTTTTAAAACCAGTGTTGTTAAAAAATTCAATATATGGGGTGTCTTTTGCCACGTTAAAAATACAAACGCTAACGTTGACAAGAAGGTAAAGCTGGCAAGTCAACCACAACTGAGTAAAATATGCCTGGGCGTAAAATCACACGTCAGACATACGGCTTGCTCCCTTGCCAAAGGGTAATAGTTAGTTGCAAAAATTAACATCAAAAAGTGGAAAGAATTCAGCATTTCAATTTTTCTTCTAATTGTCACATATTATATAAATGTTGTTTGTGGATCCCAATTCAACACTCTGTGGGTGGAGTCCTCAAAACAAGCCACCACACATAATTTGGAATAACTCAGCACTTACCTCAGAGCTCATCCTTGAAAAGTAATAACATTATCTTTAATGAGCTGTTTATTCTGAATTTTCTTTCAAAGTCTGTCAAGTAAATCTGAAATCCTGTACTCTCTTAACATGCCCTAAACTAGCACAGGCAGTGATATGTGAAGTCCACCCAAACGTAGTTTCACGTTATCAATCCAACCTGATGTTGGTTGGGTGCAGTTTCAGTTTAGCATTGTACAGATGTGTTAACATCTCTGTTCTTGAGAAATTTGTCAGGACATAGCTCTTCATTTGGTTTGTTTCGGTAGCTCCACAGACCATAGTAGCCTTGACATTACAAGATTTTATCCCAGATCTCTTCCATAGGCTTGAGCCCTTCTTACGGAAAGCCAATGACTGCTTTATTCCAGAGCTCTTTTTACTTCTTATTGCTAATACTTTATATTACACACTTTAACGCACATAACTCAAATGACTTGTCATCTATTTATATTGCTGAAAACAAATGATCAAATAGCATGCCTCTTTTCTTAAATATAGAGAAGTACCGGTAATAGCCTCCTGAAGTACACTTCTGGATTCCTTTTATCATCTCCTGATGGGTAATACTGAACTCACTCCCTGGGTAAAGAAGGGTAGCCATAACAGCAGCCTTGGAATGAGTATGGATCACTGCGCCTGCCCCTAAGAACAGAAAAAGAAGAAAAAATATATTTTTAGAATTTATTTTAAAATGTGTCTATTAAGAAAATTTTATTCATTTACATGATTCATTTCCTTTGGCTAGGCATCTTAGCAAACGGTGATCTCTACTGTATTAGAGGAAAAAATACAGAGCAACCTAAATAAAGGTATGAGACGATTACTCATCTATAAAGGGTAATTCCGGATTGTCTTACCACACTAGTGTTCACTTTTAGTTAGTGACAAATTCCAGGAGAGAAGCTACTTGCACTACCTGTACATTTCTTTATATACTGCAATGACTGAAACACTCTACTAATTTTATCAGAGTTCTGAGATTCTAAAGAATTCCCAAACTTACTTGTGAGACGAAAGTTTAAAGACTTTTACTTTCTTTTTATGCTAGTATTCTTCTTCGATTATCCACTGATTCTCTGAAAAAATATTTAGCGTTATCTTATTGTGTCATGATGCAAAGATAGGTAGACAATAATTATAATTTACTTTAAAAGTTGCAATGTTGTCAAAAATATGAAATGAGTTTTCCTCAGGTACACATGTAAGCTTCCTGTGCAGGAAGATCAGAAGAGACTCCCTAAATATTTTCTAAGTAACAGATGTAAGTTTTAGACAAACTGCAAAAGCTCTCTATTACTGTTCACCTGCAAAAGAAAAGTTTCATACTTTTTTTCACCTATCCTTAATTTAGAACCTCTGATCACAGCCAATGGTTGTAAAAGGATCTAAAACAGAGTTGCTGAATAGGCAAAACCACTGGTATAAAACTGCCGTAAATCCTCCAGCTCTTCCCGCAACCTACGAATATACTGCACTAAAATAAGTGCCAAAAAAGATGCTCATAGGTATAGCTATATGAGCAAATTAAAATGGAAATGTCACTCACAGGATGTTACTACGGATTACCTTCCATTGTATGTACTCCTTTGCAAATAAATTTATTTTATAGTTTCATGTTTATTTCACCGTAACTTCCAGGTATAATGAATATGGTATTGAGTATCAATATTGTGGACGTGTATATAAGTGTTTCAGTCATCGCTGAAAAAAAAATACTTGTTACGCACCTCTCATAGTGTAGGCGTTCATAAAAAGAGGTGTGCACTGGCTTTTCTTTAGTTTCTTGTGTGGTGGAGGACCACTGATGTCCTGTTCGTTCATGTCACAAACAAACATATCCTCCGGCTGTAAGAAAAAAGAAATTATTTTAACCTGTGATGACCCAAATGGTTTTGTTTTCCTTCTAGTGAGACAAATACAGACACCACATATTTAATATAGAATGTGATTTTAACTTTGTAAAAGTGCTGTAATGCACCACATTTATTCTAGCTTCTAAAACTTTTTCTGATGTTGCGTAATGTGAATTAATATTAGGTACTCTTTTCTATTCAGGCTGCTGCCAAGCAGATATTTGTAAAACTAAAATTTTCTCAGAAAGCAGACAGCCTCTATCTAAATAACAGACAACAGATCAAAAGGAAAAGTAGTAACTGATTCAAAACAAGAAGTGGAGATGTACTTTTCCTCCCCTCTTTGAAGAATCAACAAAGGACATGAATTAAAGCCACACAGAATACATTTAACTTGCAGAACTATTTTTTTAAACATTGCTTTTAGCAGCTTTACATGAATGTTACCTTTGTATCCATCAGCTACTCATAATAGTACAAAGACTTGTTCAGGGTAGCAATAAAACTTTCTTCTTTAATGTTACTTTAAAAATCAAAAAGTTACAAGAGATTTCCTTACTCACTGCGCCGAATCCACTGCTGCTGCTGCTAGCAAAGAACAGACCATCACGGTCTTGCCACGTTACACCTTTGCCTGCCTTACTTGCTAACATCCCCAGCGAGCACTGCTGCGAAACCCCAGGTTTCTATTGGTGAAGAGATTCCTTTCACTTCTCATTGTATTTACCCTCAGACCTATAAAAGAACAAATCCTTTCCACATATTAGTCTATTCTGAGGGAGCTCCTGCCGTCATAAAATAGTCATAATTTACCATTCTCCCCTCCACTTCTATTTTTTTTTTTGGAAAGGAGACAGATAGACAAGGTCACCTGTTCACGGGGAGAGCCCATCTATTTACTAAGAATATCAAGACAAAGATTTGTAATCACTCAAACGAAAATAGAGATGTGGTGTTAATGCTTAATTACGTATGTGTCACGGTAACTTGAAACTGTAGCCAGACAGCTATAAAGCCATTCACACTTGACAAAGAATGAAGCCGGACTTGAGTAATGCTCGAATGTCACAGTCTTCTGTGTTAATTTAAAGCGAAGAGGTCATCAAGACTAATCTACATTGGCCACTGAAAGACATGTTGGCTTGCTATGCTAATGGAGCACTGGGCGAAATCCTCAGTTGTTTCAGTAAGGCAGTCTATAGTATACCAAGTTTCCAACTTTACATAAGGAAACATGAAACTAAACAAATGTACTTTCACCTGTCTCAAGATGAGCTCAACATACCTGTATTCTTTCCTTTTGGACTCCTGAAGGAGCGATGTAGATTTCATTCCTAAGAAAAGTTAGAGACAGGGAAAATCAATAAATACAGGCTTGTTCAACTGCACGGCAGCAGAGCTCTGAATCCACTGAGAAGGAAACAGCAAATCCAGCCCCTCATAATTTAATAACTTTCTTGCTCCTTCCAGAGATTGACATGCAGATGGTTTTCAAAATGGAATTGAATCATGCAGGGGCATATGAAATCTCTAACTTGCAGGGGTACAAAACTGTGCTTTCAACTCGACAAAAGATCTGAAACAGACGTAGGAAATGTAGCCTTATTTTTCCTGCAAAGAAAAACACACGGCCTCTCCCTGTAATAATTCCAAACTCAAATCCACAGAATTCAGAATAAAAATGGAACAAAAGAAACTGCAAGCAGATACTGATCTATGACAAAACAGGTGACAAAACTATTACTTAAAAATCCATGGACAACCTATAAACAATACTAACTATCTGTAGTATTCTACAATGTAAATACTTTTGATTTTTGTTACAACTGTGTAGTTAATGTTTTTAATGCATTTATATATTTATTTGTATGGATAAAAAAACACTAATACAATGCAATTAAATTACTGAAATTCAAGAAGTGCATCACTTCTTGCAAGGTTTACATGAACAAAGACTAAACATTTATTTAAATTTAAATGATTTTAAGATGGTATATGAAATATTTCCAATAATAATAAAAAAATCAGATTATCTCTCTCCATTGTAATCACTATTCAGTTTCAATAATAACATGCTAAATTCAGGAGTGCAGAGACATCTAGTGAATAATTAGTCAAGTTACAGAGACATTTTTTAAGGACCATAAGATGTTTCTATTTCTGGACAAGAGCACTTAGAAGGGCAACGAAGGTGGGCAAGGGTCTGGAGCACAAGTCTGATGGGGAGCGGCTGAGGGAGCTAGGAGTGTTTGGTCTGGAGAAGAGGAGGCTGAGGGGAGACCTGATCGCTCCCTACGATGACCTGAAAGGAGGGTGTAGCCAGGTGGGAGTCGGTCTCTTCTCCCAAGTAACAAGCCATAGGACAAGAAGAAATGGCTTCAGGTTGCACCAGGGAAGGTTTAGATTGGAGATTAGAAAGAATTTCTTCACCAAAAGGGTCGTCAAGCGCTGGAACAGGCTCCCCAGGGAAGTGGTTGGTGGTGCCTCACCCTGGAGGTGTTTAAAAGACGTGTAGATGTGGTGCTTAGCGACACGGTTTAGTGGTGGACTTGGTCGTGTTCCAACCTAAACAATTCTATGATCCTAACTCTTCCAAAAATACAACTCTTAAGATGATGTACTCTTCATAGTGGTAAAACAGCTGTGAAGCACACCAAAATGTGGCTTTATCTTATTTGTAAATTTTAACATTCATGAATTAACACTGCCAACATTGCATTAATTTAGTCTTAATTCCTTTGCATGAGCAAGATGATTGAGAGCGCAACATATCGAGAAATCAAGTGGTAATTCAGTTACTAATGAAAGACATGCATTTTTTCTTAATTTTTTTTCTTTTTTAGAAATTAATCACAAAGGGAAAATCCGATGATGAAATACAGCCTTTGAAATACAGACACCTGACAAAGCATTCTAGATCCATTTTTAATACGCTATCCCACATCCAAATTGGCATTTTTATTCTGAGTAGTTGATACGAACTGCACAGTGAGAAATGCTGATTAGGATTAGGTGGTAAGACCAGTTGTTAGAATATCAATCAAATTTCAATTGTTCTTTCACTATGTCCTATGTGACAATTCTAAGCTAGTCTTATCTCTGTCTCATAGCTATTAATTTTGAAACATAGCTACTGCTACTGTAAGTATAAAACAGTACAGCCACATAGATCACTCTACTCTTAGACCATGTACAATATTGGTATGCACTAAAATATGTATTTTGGTGTAGTCTGAGCAACCAAGTTATAGAACCGCCGAGGAAAGCTGTACTACTATGTTAGTGTATTCTCTGTTGACACCATTTGACTTGCCACAACTAACATGAATCACACCGAAATAATAAAGAAAACGAGCTATGTTTAGCTAATGATGAGAAATTAATACTAGAAAAATCTTTCCATAGAAGAAGAACTTTAAAAACAAGAATTAACCCTCTTATCATTCCTCTCATTATTATTATTGCTGTTGCTTTGCTTGCAAAATCAAGCAGGGAAGTGAAACGACCTGCACAAAGCCATTAGAACAGCACAGATATTAGCATTTAGAGCTTTCACTTCAGTTATATATACATATCTCATATATTTGAATAGCAATGGCTGTTTGTGCCTGCATGCAAGTGTACGTCAGAAAAAAGAGAGGTCAGACCCTTTGACGTTAGAGTGCCACAACACCCTGTGACCGGGGACAGAACTGCAGGTACTGTGCAAGGTGTTTTGCAGAAGGAGGACTTCCCTTTTTTCAGTGGCCACGGAGAGGAGCTCTGTCTCCATTAAAAGCTTGGAAAGTCTGAACAGGGGGAGACGAGCAAATTAAAAAGCAAAGTGGTGCTCCCTAGCAGTGGATACACACCAAAAATTGTTTTGCTGTTACCTGTCCTGCTTATATGTTACGAATACCACCTTAGAAATTATCTCAGTAGAACAGCAATTTCCTTCTTAAAGGAAATGTCTTGCCTCCAAAATGTCTAGGGTGGGATTCATCTCATCTAACCACAGGCATTTGAAAGCCATGGGCCTGGTGTAACCCACTCTAAATTCCATAGTCAATGAAATGAAAAAGAGGGAATGCATTGTTCCTTAAAGACAATTCATCTACCTGAAACAAAGACAGGAAAAGGACAGAAAAAATCACTCTCTGAAGTTGGCTCTCTCCATTGAAGGGACCGCAATGATTAATTCAGACTAACCACCTCCCTTCTATATGGTTAAATTTGGCATACTGTTCATTTCCCCCTCTACCCTCTTGCTCACTCTTGACTTTCAAACATTTTTCATGGAACTGAAATGCCCTCACCAACTACTAGACACAGCCGCCCTCTCTCTCTGTAACCAGCACATTCTTTATCTTCCATCTTTACTTACCCATGTTTCAAGCTGATTCCTCCACCAGTTCCTGTGACCCAGCCTAAACCATAAAACAGCCTACAAAGCTCCGGGATAAGATTTCTTGGATGTAACTTGTCCTAAAAATAAATTAAAGAAATAAATTAAAAACCATCAGAAACATCACAAACCTCAGAATTTAAATTCTGAAATTGAGTTTAAAGGGGTTGAACTTTCATACTGCAGTATGACAGTCTAATTTATGGCCATGAACTTCAGTTACAAAATGACTGTGTGTTTGCACAATGCCCTTTACACTTTGCAGGGGCCATTCACACCTTGAAAGGAACAAACAAAACCCCCAAATAAAAGGCACGTCTGATTATCCTGCACATGAAAACATCTCATCTCAAATTTATTCGAGTGCAGTGGCCCACAGGTATTACACCAGATAGATTAAGTCATAGACTATTGCCATAAAAAAAAGAAAAATAAATGCATCTAACTATCCACTTTGAAAAGCTCAACTAAGAACTTTTCCCTTTGAATCAGTTTCCTGTAGGTTTATTTTGCTTGATTTACAAATTTCAGTAGAACGGACTTTATTAGTTCTGTTACACAATATTTTTACATCCCAGTCAAAAACACCATAGAAAACGTGGCAAGTTATTTGATGAACTACACTGTTACAATGTGAGGTTACCTCACATGCAGCTTAGCCAGAAAGCAAATTGAATTATTTTAATATTTCTTTTTGGAAGGAAAAAAGTTCTTTTTTTTTTTCCATATTCCATTATTATATCAATAAATACATCTGTATCTATTTATTAACTGACAGTATTTGTAGGGTCAGAGATTCATTCATAGTTAATCTGAAACAGAATGGCTTTAGAGTACAAGCCAAAACTATTTATTGGAAATCCTAAACATTACTCTGCACCGAACATTTAAAAATAAGAAAGCTGTACCTAACAGGTAGCAGTCTTTGATAAGTGAATACTACACTGGAAAAATAAAAATTTTGAATGTTGGAATCATTTACATGAGAAATATAACCAGTATATACAGAGAAAACTCTGAGATGCCACTTTAATTCACGCTGTGTGCTTGAATTTACGCATTTGCATGTTGTCTTGAGTACCTCTTTTAGCTTATTTGAGAGAATGAAAAGCCAAAGTCTTTCCCCATTTACAAGTGTAAAAATAAAAATCGTATGTGCTTTCACAAAGATCCTGATACAATTGAACCCATATTAAACAGCAGAGAAACTGAGCAGCAATTTTATTTACGTCAAATTATCTCCCTGGGATGGGGTAAGACTTCCACCTACAGTACCACAGTAATACAGCTGGTTTTGTTTCTTATATGTGTGTGTGACAGAAACCAGCAATTAAGCACAACAGATGTGCTCCTTGCATAGTTTTCAACAGAAAAATGGATTCGTTTTAGGAAGGCTAAACCCTTAGCTCACCGAATACAGTCTCCTGCTACTGCAGCCAACTCTCACATAATTCTTGTTACATATGCATTAAGCCTGATCAGTAATTCAAACTTCAAGTTCTGGTGTGGCACCATATTCTTCAACGGCACTTGTTTCTGAAGCGATTATCTTTAAAGAACTGGGATTCAGTTCAGATGCTATTCCTGCCTGCTCCTATTATTTACAGTCTCTTTTAATACATGAAGTCTCATTTAATACATTAAAAAATCACCCGTTTATTCATTCCAAGCGATAGAAACAAGACTCTAACCGGCACTCCTAGAAACTTATGTAAGAAGTTAAGATTTTTAAAGCACCATGAACCTTCATCAGTTCACATTACCTGAAACAAACAGAACAGCATATACGAGAGTACATGAAGGAAAAAGACTGCAGGCCAAATAAGCAAACTCCTACATTTATAGGGGAAAAAATGTGAAATTTTTATAGGGGAAAAAATATGAAAAAATGTGAAACTCTGTAATGAAACGGAGTCCCACTGTATCTTGTTTTGACTCTTACTCAAAACGACATCACTGTGTATTTCTAACCTGTGTACTACACTGGTATTTTTCATTTCAAAGAAAAATTATGTCTCTTCTACTTTTAATGGAATAAGCTTATATTAAACAGGTTTATATTGCTATTTATTCAATGTACACAGATGTAAAAAAATCTGATTATAACACTCCTACAGTTGTTTCATATTTTCCGTTTGATGCATCTAGACATTTACTGCAAAATTCATATTCATGGGAGAACATGAGTGCTTTTCACCACTTCAAATCATTAAAAAGGACTTTTAAAAGTTTAAATTCAGAAGCTTCTTTCATCAAGAACATACAAAAATGAATATAACCAAGGAATTCTGACTATTTTTTTGAAGAATTTCAGGATTATAAATCAATCCTCAGAGTTTAACAGTGTTTTTCCAGGATCAGTGGAATCTGACTATAACTATAAATTACCTAAACAAAAATATTACTGTATTTCATGTTTAAAATTACTTATAATAAAAATGATAGTTCTCTCCATAACTAAAAAAGGGTACTTGCTGTAATAAGCCTGGGAGTGAACATGTGTGAAAGCAGTAGGCAACTCAACAGGATTACTCTTTGTCAAATCTCAATTCGCAGTACTTTTACATTTGATTTTTAAGTTGAAGTCCAGATGCCACTGGTTATCTCTTCCTTCATATCTGCAACTCAGCAGCCAGCCCGCTAGTTTTCTGATAGACCTAACATGAACAACTTAGCTTCTTTGCTGCTATGCTGTTACCATCTCCGCCTAAGTTTCTACATGCTGTTAGATATGAAGGAAAACTCCACAAATTTCCACGAACTAAAAGAAGTGACTAGTTTTTCAATCCATTAAATTACTCATTTGAGAATAATTTCTCAAATTGGTAAATTTCTGAACAGAAACTGACTGAAAGTATTCACTGAAAATTTAGAAGATTTCCAGCAGGCAAATCTTCTCAAAAAATTATTATGGTATTCTGCAAGACTGTGGTTGCTCAAGGAAAATTAGCTTTTTCATATTTTATTCATATTACTGCATCTAATATGATTTTAAAAAAGAAAATAAAACAAACCCACTCTCCCAACCCAAAACCCCAGAAAACAATGTGGCTCTAATATAATGGAAATCAGGGTGGATCCAGCCTGCTTGTGGAACAAACGCATTTGTAAAGGTTTTGGGGATAATTTTCAAAAGGTGTAAAACTGAACAATAAAGTGGATATTTTAAGATATTACAGTAAATAAACTGTGCCTGCAATATGTATCTCCCTTTCATAAAGTGCTTAGAAATCAAGTATTTTCCTCAGAAATCAGCACAGACTGCACAGATGAAATCATACTGTTGATATTTCATACTGACAGGTAGTAAATCATGATGAGACTTCTCTGAATAGCCGCAGAGTGATAAGTTTGATGTGGCAAAAAAGATCTGTGCTACGCTGCATACATAAAGTGAGAAAAGTACTGTTAATAAGCTGGTTGATTTCCATTTAAAATCTGTCTTTAGCATGGAAACAGATCAAATAAACCAAAACAGCAAAAATAATGTTATGATCCTTCAAAAAAGTTTATTTTCTACACCACCTTCAGCACCATACAAGGATTCTATAATGCAAAAGGGGGTTTTTTTTAGGTGAGAAAAAGAAATAATTGTAAGGAAGAGAAAGGAAAGCAACGTGGTGAGGATTCCTATTCTACTTAAAAGCCTCAGACTGTCAATTCTTATAGCAAGTACAGACCTCCAACTCAAACTGATCATTTATGGTGTGCATTTTTTATGTTTTTAATTTTATTTATTGCAGCAATTAGGAGCTTTAATAGCTTTTTTAAAAAGACAAGTGATTAGCTGCTCTACTGCTCATCTTAGTCATTTATGCCCATGAAAGGACATTTCCAAGAGAAACGTTTGTTTGGGAGCAAGAACCCACATTAGGGAGGGTATTCTGTTAATACCTACAGAATAAAGAGAACAAAAGCAAAAAATTAGTAGCACACACCAAAACTGGTAGGCAGGTAGTTACTTAGTACCAACACCTTTGCTGAAACATTAACAAAAAAGCGCTGTTGTCACTGTTCTCTCCCCCCACCCTGATACCACAGTGACTCTAAAGTTGAAGACTTTGACGGTGTTAAAGTAAGACTGTGAGACTTAAGCAAAGGGGTACTGGGATTTTGTTAGCCCCTCAAGATTGTCTCCTGGCCCTTAGAATCACAGCAAGCAGAGGCTTTGTTTAATGCTGCCCCTCTGAAGAGACAGGCCACTTGCATCTTGTCGCAGTTGCTACAGGGGGCTGCACGCCACAGGAAAATGCTTCCAGTTGGTGTCGGACTTGCAGAACCAGGCGTGAGGAGGCAGTGGCAGCAGCTTGGGAGAAACAGACACGGGTGTAAGATAGCGGCAGGGGTTCTGAGGCAGGGGACAGGGAAGGTGAAGTGATGGAGATGGCAACCTGGGGCAAGTCTGACAAGGTTTGGAAGCTCCTGGTCTAAACCTCATCTTTAAAACCTCCAATGACTGAGAGTCACAAACTCCTGAGGCAATCTGTTTAACTGTCCCAGGTTAGAAATATTTTCCTAATGCCTAACCTAAACCTTGCTTGCTGAAACTTAAGTTTATCATCTGTTACCGAACAGTTACGGACATAAAGACGTTCTTCTCTTTCATCTTTGTAACAACATTTTACATATTAAGACAACAACTCCATTTCCTCCTCTTTTTTTTTTTTTTTTTTTTTTTTTTTTTTACAAGTTCTTTTCCCCTTTCTCTAACCTCTTCCCTGACAGGCCACACTATCTAGACTGCTTGTCATTCTCATCTCCCTGCTGTCAGTCCACACCGATCTTGACGCTTGGGCCAGCCTCTTGCCCAGCTCCACACACAAACAGGACAGGTATTTCAAGTCTCGTCCAGGCGATGCTCCCATATATTCCAGCACGACGTTTGCTGCGTTTGATGAGGTACAATACTGCCAACTCATGTCCAGGTTGTGATGACTTATAGTAATGAACAGTTACCAAACTACAAAATAAACCAAACTACAAAATAAACCAAACAATCACAGAAAAAAAGCCCAAAACAAACCTAAAAAAAAAATAAAATCAGTTATCATAAATAAATAAATTAAAAGGGCCACAAGTCCA